TATGTATTTTATATAAATTTATAAATATATGGCAGTGATACAAAGGCAGCACTGTTTTTCATGATTCCCATCTCTTCACTGCACAGTTCCCATTGCTTTTCAGATAACTGTCAAAAGCAGCAAGAGCAGTTTCACCTCACTCTGTGCTGTTCAGGTGTGGTGGGACAGTCCTACCTTCTCCTTCCTTTGACTTACTGCCTGGGTCCTAGAGAAGGCCTTGCAGCTGGACCCTCCACCTATACACACTTTGACCTCTCCGAAGACACCTAGCCAAAGCACTCCTGCAAAGAGCAGGGATGGCAATATGTTCTGGAGAGTTTGGATTCCGTTGGTGCAAGGCTGCCTATTTCCCCTCAGGGGCTGAGGGCACACTTTCTCCTTTGCAGGTTCTTGCTGGCCCAGATGTGGTCAATCCATGACCCAGCCAGAGCTTCCCGCTCAGAAGTACTGCGCGGACTGAGCTTTAGTGGGAGGACCTACGCTCCATGCTGCCTGCCACCCTGTCCCCAAAGGGATTTTGTTATGAAAGTAAGCACAATCTCTGCGCCCCAAGAGATCAGTTAGGGCACAAGCAAAGCTCTGCCATGCCTGTTTGTCATGCTTCTTGCCCAAGCACTGGCCTAGCTGCATTTCTGGGTGCCCCGTTGAACTCCAACTCATAACCCATCTCTGGACTGCTCCGTGCCTGGTCCTTCCTCTTTGCCTCAGCCAGTTTTGATGGTCCTAACAGGAGTAAAACATTCAGGGTGGGAGCCCACAAAAGGTACTGCATGATCCACGAGAGGGTTGTTGCTGCTGGTGGCTGCCTGAAATCCTCTTAGAACTGAGTCCTGCAAAATATTAAGTTTTGGCCAAACATCAAGCCAAAGCTAAGAGGGCAGCTGAAAATATGCTGCATGTATGTAGAAAACATTTTTTGAGTTTGGTGGAGAGTGTTGAAAAAATATTAAAAATAGTGATTGTGAAACAACAACTGTACAGATTTGTTTGCAGCAAAACAAGGTAGAAAAAGGGCGGTTTGGGCTGTGTATAAGCCCTGAGTACCTGTTTCAGCCCAGAGTTAGACTGTGGCTTTGTTTCATCTGGAGTCAATCTAGGCTTAACTGAAGTCCTCCCGGCCACCTTCTGCAGCCCATGGAGGAAGGCACCTCCAGAGAATAGGGTCATCCCACCTAAGAAGTAGAGAGTCCCCTGAAACTGTGGATGGTGTCTGCAGACACCGTAACGGGTTGCGGGGCCTCTCATACGGCACCCCAGGGAAGCAGCAGGCATTAGAAGGTACAAATCCAGAACATAACACTGCTTCTGCTGCTTTCTCCTTCAGGCAAAATCTCAATCACAGAGATAAAAAAGCCTGCTAGGTAAACTGTGTAAGCCACTGCAGATGAGGGGTTTCTCCTCTCATCACCACCCTGGATACAACCAGTCGTTTCTTTCAGCTTGATTTTATTGTGAAAAACTGAGAAAATAACTTGCACTGAAATGAACTCCACTGGTTTGATGCTGTGGCATAGACACACCATACAATACCAAACATCTGGATGACATTACATCTCAAGAATCAGAACCTGAATCCTATTGGAAACAAATATAAGTCACTACAGCCTTTGAGCAGCCTATAAACCATTCATCACAAGAAGTACCATGGAATAACTGAAGCGTTCAAGTATCCTTTTGGTGCAGTCCCAAGTATAGCACACTGCTTACGGTGCAGCCAACACCAGGGATTGCTGTGGAAGGCGTCGGGGATCTGAGCCAGAGCAGACTGGAGTCAATAAGTCTTTCCATTTTACTTTAGTGGACTTAGAGCTCAGCTTTTAATGACTCACGCACTCCGTGGTGCTGACCTAGGCAACCTTCCTTCCTAAAGAGGCTGAACTTGGCACCAGAAGTGAGAGGATGCAACCACTAGTCCGAGTTTGCTCCATGACTGCTCTCCCAGGCTTTGAATATAGAGATACTAACAGATAAATAAATAAAGAAAAGCTGTGTGACCTCAACGCAGTATCTTTTTGCTGCATTGATGAAAATCAGATGATACAGATAATTTTGTCGTCTCCAGTGTTCTTGCTACAGAGAAAGTCTTTGTTAAAGTACTTCTAATACATCACGTAACCATGTACCATCTCTCCTTTGCTGTACTGTGGGTGAGGCTGCTGTATTGCCTTTGAACTGCCAGTCAGTTTGAAGTGACACAGTTAATTCTTTATGACTTAAAATCTGTCTTATCAAAGCTGTTTTGGCTTGCAGTAGGTGACCTACTGCACACATCCAAAGAACTAAATAAACTACTTCAGGCGGAAAATCATTAAATTGTGGAATATAGATTTTTGGGAATATTTAGCTGTATTCACAGAAAAGAGTAAAACTAAACATTTCTCTACACACAAGTGGTTGGACTTGATGATCTTAAAGGTCTTTTCCAACCTTAATGATTCTGTGATTCTGTAATTCTGTGATTCATGCCGAATATCCTTCTAGGCACATAATCACCCATGTAATTTCCAGGACTTACCAGAATTAAAAAGAATAACTCCTTTAATATAGGCATATTCTTTTGCACTTACATCCCGGTCCCAAAATTTCCACAATAAATTCTTCATCTTCTGAACGTCTGCTAAAGATGCTTCCTATGGCGAGCTGCCCAGTTCATTGCCAGCTGTCAGAGATTTTTTGAGGAGGGTTCTTTTCAATAAACTAGGGGCTGAAATCTTGTGCCATGCCCAGGACAACAAGAGGGGCCCAGTTCTGCTGCGAGAGGACAAGCTGATCCTCCCAAGGCATGTGATAAGACGACAAGTTTCTGATAAAAGTTAAGGTGTTCAAGAGCACTTTGGAAGTTCTTCTGCGGGTGGCTTCTGGTGTTTTCAGGACGACTCTTCTCCTGTCCGTACAAGAGCAGCCCTTCCTCCCCATGGAGCGGTGGGGACCGTGATACTGGTGGTGCCGCTTGGTCTCGCTTCCGTGCTCTCTGTTAAGTGCCTGGTACAGGATGCCCTTAGCACGATGTGTCACACTGACAGTCCCCAAATTTCTCAGGTGGGATCTCGGTAGCCACAGAGCCAGAGTTCCCTGTGACTGTGGAGCTATGCTTCGATAGCAGGGGAGAGCATTTCTGCCACGCAGCGAGGCATTGTGTGCTTTTTATATACCCAGGGGGTTGAAAAGTAATATGACCCCGATCACCTTGAACTTTATTTGCAGAATTCTGTTTCGAACGAGGCGGGGCTGCAGGCTGCCGGTGTG